AGATGAATTAGAAGATGAGGTTGCAATAATCTAGTGCCAATTGGAGGTGTATTTTCCTCCTTCATTTTTTTGACATTATGGTTCACTTACTTGTTCATCTAGTAAGAGAAATCAGATTTTATGGTCCAATATATTTAAGTTGGATGTATCCAATAGAGTGATACATGAAGATATTTAAAGGATATATAAAGAATTATCACCGACTAAAAGCTCTGATTTTTGAAAGGTACATCACAGAAGAAACTATTGAGTTTTGTTCAAACTATTTTTCAGAAACATAGTCTATAGGAATTCCAAAGTCTTGTCATGCTGAAAGATATGGAGGTAGAGGTACCCAAGTTTTAAATGTTAAGTCAATGGCTCAGGATGTAGTTCTTGAAGCACGTTTCTATATTTGTAATAATCTTGAGGAAGTTCAACCTTACACAGATACTCACAAAAATGTTATGAAGACAATATCCTTGAATGAGTGGCTAATGGTTGTTAACAGAGCATAACAAGAAATTCATAAGTTTGTTTAATACAAATATTTCTAATGATAATAGTACACCCGAGAGAATTAAATGATTTTCGTATATGCCAAAACTTAATTTGATAACTTGGAAAGCATACGACCTTTTTAAATTTTTCCTTTTATACAAAAGCAAAGGATGATTTTAGTACAATGCAAAATAATGGGGTTATGGTTGAGGTCAGATCCATGTATTTCTCTAGGTCAAAAGATAAGAATCTTATATTGGCATCTAGAGCTTTCTATGGTGTCATTAAAGATATTTTGGAGATTTATTATGTTATTTTCAAAGTGCATTTATTTTAACGAAAATGGATTCCTAATAACAATGATGTACAAAATGATGAGTTAGCATTCACATGGGGTTGATCTTGACGATGCAACTTATATGACTGAACCATTCATCATGGCTACTCAAGCAAAACAAGTTTTTTAAGCGACAAACCTTTTAGGCTTATCTAAGATATGGTCAATTTCTCTTTAAGGAAAATACATTCCTCATTGTGATGAATATTTTGATATTCATTTGAAGAAGTTGATAGAGATAATGTGCATGCTATCCGTAACAATCATCAAGAAGGCATATGGGAAAATTAACAAGTATTTTTTATTCATATTTTATTGTAAGTTATAATTACTAAGGTTATTTACTAACAAGTATTATTATTTGTAATTATAGGTGTTTAAAGTCAAGACACCAATACACCTAGACACTATTATTTGATGTAACGATGTGTAAATTGTAGGTTTTTCTGTGCCATTTTAGTTTTGATGTAATATATAATTTTGGGTTCTTAATGCAATTTTGTCTTTGATGAAATACAATTTTTGGTTTGATACGATTCACAAATGGGTGTGTTGTTGTTTTTGGTCTAATACGACTCAGTAAAATTCAGGCTAAAAATTTGTAATTATGTAAAATTAAAAAATATATATTAAAAAAACAAAAAATTTCACAATTGTTTTTTAATACAACCATTGTTATAGGTAGGTATATCCAGAATAATAAAGGCCAAAAATGGCGTTGTAGAGTATCAAACCCAAGACCTATAAATAATTTCAAAACAATTGTTTATTACAACCATGGTTATAGGTAACACGTTTTCTAGTTTACTACAACAAGCAATAGATCGTGGTTGTAGACTACACACATACAATCACATGCTACCTCACCATGGTTGGTTAACCGCGATGATGTCCCCTTTTCAACTGTGGTTAAATGGATTTTCTATAGAAGTGATTTGAAGTTAATGACCCAAATTTGATAGTTCTTAGTGATAGTTCTGGGATTTAGGGAGGTTCTGTTGAGTGTGAAAGTGGCACTCCTAGTCCATTTGATAGGAATGAGGAGGAGACTCTCACACTCCGGGTTATATGGAAGTAGTTTATCGTTTAACTTCATCTGTCCGAGATTGTGAATAACTGGAAGCGGCCCTTGCTTCCTAGAATGAGATAAGGATTCTTTATTATTATACGTAAAGTGTGGTTGAAAACCTACTGATGAGTAGATTAAGGAGCTTCTTGCCTTTAGGAACAACAATCGAATTTCTAACCAGCATTCTACTTTATGTTCTTGTTGGAATGACATGGTAAAACAATGACATGTGGCTTTAGTTCAGCCTCCTGATTCTAAACTTTATGCTTGGGTTGACCCTGAGCTGGTAGAGACCATTTCTGGGTATGGTTACGCAAAGAAAGTATAATACGTCCAGATAGAGGTGGGTCTATCTTCTGATTGGCTAGTTTTCCACATTGACGAGGGTAAAAGAATTTACAGTTACTATGATGGGTGTGTCTCCCCTTTCTATGCATGTCTCTTTTATCGAACGAGGTTTAGGCTACCGTTAACTATTTTTGTAGAAGTTATATTAAATGATTTGGATATATCCCCTTTCCAACTTCATTCGTCTAGCTTTCAGCAAAATGTTCCAACATTGGCGTGGGTACCGAGGATTTGAGATGTCCATTAGAATTTTATTTAACTTGTTCTCTATATCCTGTACTTCAAAGGTTTCCATTTGTGGCCAAGGGACCGTTTCTATCTGCCAGTCTACTTGAAAGATCGGTGTTTATATAAATAGTTAGAAGAACCTTAATGATAATTATATTTTGGTGACTGTTTCGACTCCAGAGGCTAAATGATTTTTTGCAAGGTTAGCGACAAGGTTCTTGATCCCGATTCTTCTTCCTCTTGATGCCAAGAGAGGTTTAGGAAATATTGGTTCTAGGACCATTTTGAATTGGAATTTTTTAAGCACTCATTTGCTGATGATAAGTTGACACCGAATGAGGGGTCAATGAAGAAAGACTTGGTGACATTCTTTGAATAATTAGGTTTTGAAGGGGGAAATAATCCTGAGGAGGTAGGGTCCATGAAGCAGGAAAGACGAGTAATTAATTTTCGATCTATCTTGGACGCTTCTAATTTAGAGGAGAGGAGATCCCTTTTTGGTGAGAAGGGGAATTTGACTATTTTTTTTTTATGTTGGCCACTAACAACCTTTCTTCATCCGCAAAATCTATGGCGTCCCTCACGAACCTTTATGAGGTGAGGAAAGAATGGAGGATGCGAGTGTTTCTAGGGTACTTTTTTCTTCTGGTCCATCAGACTCGACCAAAGAGTAACTATATGTGGTCATCATTGCCAAACAACCTTTTACCGCTGTCGTTTCACAATCAGTCCTTCCTTCGTTGAGTCAAGCCAGCAAAGGCGAGATGAGGAGCAAGAGGTCATACGATCACCCCCTATCCTCAGATGATAATCAAAACTAAAGAAGTCGAGATAAATATCCATACGAATAGGGTCCCGAAAAAAGAACAAAGACCTCTGACTCTAGAGCTACTGGGATTTCTCTTGAGGTTTAATGTGATGCTTGCCAAACTTTTGTACACCTTTTCTTCTCGGGTGCCTCAGACATATCAAAAAGTGCATAATTCTTTCTCAGAGTGAGATGTCACCTATGTCTAAAGTCTCTCTAATACTGGAAAAATGGAATTGATGGCTAAGACAACATATCAATTGTTTTGTGGGACTTCCTTGCAGACCTTGGCAGCTGTTGGTCAAGGTGAAATACTTGCCCCCGATAATCTTCCCAAAGAAAATGAGCAGTGAAAGAGTAAGTTTGATGCTTCCATTTGTATGAGGACCGCTATTCAAGGAAATGTGCTAAAACTTCAAGCAGATCTAAATCGTTGCTGGGAAGAGGCTGAATGTTGGAAAACTGAGGGCTGTAAGTTTTCTAGCCTTTAGAAGGAATGGAAACCATCAGATTTGGCGACATGGTCGTCAACCTGCCAAGGACCATGACTAAAAAAGAGAAGGCTCTATAGAAAGCTAATACTTCTACTAGGGAGTCGTGTTCCTAAGTGATTGTTGCTCAGAATGCTCAGAAGGAGGAAAACGAATCTCGCTAGAGTTTGGAGAAATATTATGTCAACTAGGGTATCTAGGGTGTTCTTACTGCCTTTCACCAAGCGATTGAGCAAGTTCAAGTCCTCTTTGATGGGGTTGAGATTCCTTTGAAAAAAAGGGCTTAAGGAAGAAGATCGCGAATATGAAATTGTCAGTGACGATGAGAAAGCGATCGAGGACGCTGAAGAGGATATGGTGGAAAAATCTATTGATGATGCATAATCGAGTGAAAAATCCAGTGAAAAAGCAACCTTTATATATTTTACCATTATTGTTAACATAACCTTTGTGATAAATACTGCGCAATTTAATTTATCATTATAGTCATACGTATGTTGTGAAAAACAATATACTTACTACTATCCCCTACTTTACCATAATCAATCAAATGTGACTATATCTCTTTTTTAACTATGATGAAATGACCTTTCCACAGTAATATATAGAGTTATTTTGATAACGCGACACTAAATGTGATGATTTGGCGGCAATATAAACTTAGAGAATATATATATATATATATATATATATATATATATATATATATATATATATATATATATATATATATATATATATATATATATATATATATATATATATATATTCTAATCGATTCATTTTCATCATTTTTCTCACGCATTCATTTATGTCAATAGTTTCTGCTCATATATATTTATTATTTTAAAATTAATTTAAAAATTAATTTTTTAATAATGTCTTTGAAATTTTATAAAAGCTATCAAAAACTTGTTTTTTTTTATAGATTTTTTGAAGTATTTTTTTAATTAAGTTATTTTTAAACCAATATCTACCGGATATCAATCCTTATAAATATTTTGAAAAGATAAAACTTTTAGATTCAAAATCAAATCAAATCCATAATAAAACTTGTTGGGTACGATTAAAGCCTCTATTTCCCCTATAAATACTACTCACGCCTTTTATTTTTTCTCACTCTTCTCGCTCTATAATTTTCCAGCTTCAAAATCTTCTGGCTGTATATATTTTCAGCTTCAAAAGGGTTTAGGGTTAGGGTTTAAACTTTTCCGAAAAGCAGAGAATCAAAATTCAACAATGGCATCGACATCAACATCCACGGCATCAGCATCAACAAAGAAGGTCAATCTCAAGAGTTCTGATGGTGAGATTTTTGAAATCGAAGAGGCTGTGGCGTTGGAATCACAAACCATCAAATATATGATTGAGGATGGTTGCGCTGATGACACCGGAATCCCTCTCCCAAATGTAACCAGTAAAGTTTTGGCGAAAGTCATTGAGTATTGCAAGAAACACGTTGAAGTAGCAGCGGGTTCTGATGAAAGGCCTGCCGACGAGAATACTGTCAATACCTGGGATGCCGAATTTGTCAAGGTTGATCAGGATACCCTCTTTGATCTCATATTGGCGGCAAACTTCTTGGACATCAAGAGTCTGTTGGATCTTACATGCAAAACTGTTGCGAGCATGATAGACGGTAAGACACCAGAGGAGATTCGAAGAACTTTCAACATTAAGAATGATTACACTAAGGAGGAAGAGGAGGAAGTTCGTCGTGAAAATCAATGGGCTTTTGATTAATAGACTCTTGTCAAATAAACTGTTTTCGATTATAAACTGGTTATAAATGATATTGATTCTTGTGATTTGTTAACTGTTTTTGTTTTTCAATTGGTTAACTGCTTTTCTCTGATTTTGGATTTTATTTATGATCATGATTTAATTTTTTTTTCTGATTTTTATATTTGATGCTGTGTTGATTGTTTTGTGCATTGGTTCTGTTTGAAATTCTTACAGTTTGTGTATCTTTACATTGTAGTATCAATGCTGTTATGATTGAATTGTAGCAGCAAAACAGTTGCTTTGTTGCTTTGTTCGGATTTATTGTTTAGTATAGCTGGTAGTCTAGCAGGTGTAGGTTGTTGTTCCTGAGGTGCAGCTTCAGTCATTGGGGCTTTCCCTATTTCATTCATAGACATTTTGGAAAGCTTATTGATTAAACTAGGAGAGGATTGATGAGTGGAACTTGTCCTAGTATCTTTATTAGATGGCTGACAATGTTTCCTATCATTAGATCTTGTGATTCTTCTCTTACAAATACTTTAACCTAAGCGTCGAGGTAGAAACACAATTTGGATCTAAGCCATGCAGCTTCCCTTTTCTGATAGAATTTGTTGTTGAGGTATGATTAGGACATGATCTTTTTCTGGCGCCATTGTGATCATGATCATCATACAAGATTGTAAAGAAATCGTGTTGGGCTTCAGATTTTGTTGGGCACTTCTTCCTCCATTCCTCTCTGAGCCATTGTCCTTCACCTCCCCTGTTTTTGTGCTATTTCACACCTTCTTACAGCTCTATTTCATCTTTTAATTCTTTCACAACTATGTAATGGCTTCATTTGGAGGTTGAAGATATGAACTCTTTCTGATTTCGTTCTGTGATTGTGATTTCCACCATTTCCATTTGGTGATTTGACAAAAGCAACGTTTTTTAATTTTCTACAACTTTCATAGTTACTTTTGGAAGATTTCACCATTGTTGTAGGAGTTAAAGGCCCTAGAGCTTGTGTTTTTCTTTTCTATCTTTGATTATTATTCAATATTACATGTTTGTTGATTTCTTACTCTGTCAAAAGCTTGTAACTTTACAGGCTGTATGAACTAACGCAAGTCGTTTTGTGATTTTGGTATACACTTCTGAAGCGAACCAATGTAATCTAATAACTGATCTTCCAAAACAGTGTTTGATTTCCTGTGATTGTGGCTTTTCAAATGTTTTGCCGAGTCGTTGCTTCACTATTGGCAGAGCTGCAGCTGCAGCTACTCTTGTATAGTTCATTCTTTATATCAAGAAGAATTGTGACTGGTGTTATGATATTTCTCTTTTGATGCCGTGAATTGTCTTTCAACTTGTGTATTGGCATTAGGGTGTAGTAGACAAAATCTAAAATCGGCTGACTCCGCCCTAGGATTTTGTTCATGTTTTTTCATTATATATCTATCATAGATTCTGAGTCAATATAACTAGAAGGTAGATGTTATTCAAACTGAGGCAAGAAAAATGTTCGATTCCAACAAAGTGGTGTCATGGATTTGATTGAAAAGGTAAACTGAAAAATATGAGAGGCTAATTAGTCTTTAGACCACCTACGCCGGAGGTTTTTCATCATAGTTTGTCGGTCAGTGGCAGCCAACTTTTTGACCAAAACATTGCTACAATTGTTCAATAAATTAAAAATATGCAACGGTACTTCACCAATTTTTTATATTTAAATATTAAAATTAGCCGTTCAATGGCTATTTTTTTTCAACTTATGTTTTTATTATAAATATAGATTTTAGGAAAAAATTTACCAACACAATTTTCTCTCACTCTTATTTTTTCTTCAATTTCAAATTTCTCTCTCACAATTACATCACTTTATTCATAAATTTTTAATTTTTTTCAACAATTTCTTCTCATTAGCTTTTTTTTTTGACAAAATATTTAACCCAAATTTTCATCTTTTTATTTAAAATTATTATTTTAAGTGATATAAAATTTAATATGAATAAAATATTAATATAAAGTAAAGTTGTAGGATCCAATATAAATTCTTTCGAGAGTGAAAAACTAGTTGAATTGCTTCAATGGTTTAATAGGTCCCACAAAAAACCCAAAAATGAGTTCACCGATCCTTATAATATTTGATTTTTTTTATTTGTTTCCTTTCCTTCCTTTAGTATTATGATATCTATTAACCTACAATATGAATTTTGAATTCTATATCATCACATTTAATATTTTTTTTAAGCAAGGAATTCATTAAAAGCGCAAGGAATTCATTAAAAGAGTATTAAAGGTATTCTTGCATGATTACAAAAGACAGATTATAATCCGAAACACAATAAGGAGAGATTAAACACCAATTAAAACATAACTTAAGTAATGTAAAGGCTCGTTGCAGAATTCATAAAAATTACAATTAGGAAGATTAATATCATCTATGCAAGACCATATGGTTCATACTTTGCCTTAAAACACACTCCAATAGACCGCAAACCATATGGTTCCTACTTTGCCTGCGCTGACTTTTCTTCTTCTAAAGTAAGACACCCAAAACATAAAATGACTGCAAACATCTTCCTCATTAAAGACATTTATCCCTACCCAAAGCGAAACTGCTTGCCAAACCATCTTAAAAACAACGCAATGAAGAACGAGATGAAGAGATGTTGCCAACTCAACCGAATAGAAAGAACACAAAATCTAGTTTTCAGTGATAATACCTCTATGCAGAAGTTGAACTTTTGAGGGAAGTCTGTCAAGAAAACAACTCCAGTCGAAAGCTCTGATTCTGAACGGAATGGAGAATTTCCATAAAATCTCAAAACAACTATGGCTGCCATTTATAGTATTAATAAGTTGTTGATCAGAACATAACATAATATATCCAGATTTCGCCATATAACCGCCAACTTTATCAGGCTTACTCCAAGTTGTTGGTGCAAAGATAGAATAAATGATGAAATAGGAAAATATTCTATTAAAGAGAATGACGGCTACAAAACATGATTTTGGTTACAATGATTGTCACCCTATTTATAAGCTAAAACTAGGGTTACTAGAATAGGATAAATACTAAAATACCCTCTAACAAACTTATGGGCTAAGAAAATAGTACAACTAAATAAATATGAATTATCATTAATATTCTAATACCATCCCTTAATTCATATTCCATCAAAACTTGTAACACCAATTCCATCCCTTAATCTGAGAAATTGATCAGTCTTGATAGCTTTCGTCAGAACATCTGCCAACTGCTTCTGAGTGCTGCAGTGTACAACTTCTAACACTCCACTCTGAACTTGATGTCTCAGAAAATGATACTTGGTCTCAATATGCTTGCTTCTCCCATGCAACACTGGGTTTCTGGCAAGGTTGATTGCAGACTTGTTGTCAATCATCAACTTCAGAGGTTTGTCTACTTTAATCTTCAGATCCTGCAACAGATTCAGAATCCACACAGCTTGGCATGCAGTAACAGCACCTACAATGTATTCAGCTTCACAGGTTGACAACGCCACAACAGGTTGCTTCTTGGAACACCAAGAAATGGGACCTCCCAGAAATTTGAACAAGTACCCAGATGTACTTCTTCTGTCAACTCTGTCTCCACACCAATCAGAGTCTGAATAACTCAGAAGTTCTGACTCATTATTTCCTCCAGAGGGAAATAACACTCCATACTTCAGAGTTCCTTTGATATACCTCAGAATCCTGACAGCAGCTTGGTAATGGGACCACTTAGGTTTACTCATGAACCTACTAACCATCCCAACTGAGTAGCAAATATCAGGTCTGGTATTGCACAGATACCTCAGAGAACCAACCAACTGTTTGAAGGTTGTAGCATCCACATCCTTTCCTTCAGAGTCTGAATCCAGTTTCTGATTTGTATCAGAAGGTGTGACAGCCATCTTACAATTCTTCAGATCAAATCTCTTCAGAAGTTCTAATTCATACTTGAGCTGATGCAAAATGATACCTTTCTCAGAATATCTGAACTCCATCCCTAGAAAGTATGTCATTTTGCCTAGATCAGTCATTTCAAATTCATTCATTAGAACCTTCTTGAACTTGGCTATCTCCTGTTCAGAACTTCCAATCAATAGTATATCATCAACATATAAACATACCAGAGTCATATTGCCTTCAGAAGTATGCTGAACATAGACACCGTACTCCATCTCACATTTCTGAAAGCCTTGCTTCTTGAAAAATGAATCAATCTTCTGATTCCAAGCTCTGGGCGCTTGTTTCAGTCCATATAGAGCTTTGTATAATCTGTACACCATCCCTTCCTGATTCTTTTTCACAAATCCAGGAGGTTGTGACACGTAAACTTCTTCTTCTAATGGACCATTCAGAAATGCAGATTTTACATCTAAATGCATCAGAGGCCAATTCCTGTTAGCAGCTATTGCAATCACCATTCTGATTGTTTCATGTCTTGCTACAGGTGCAAACACTTCAGAATAATCCAGCCCAGGTTTCTGTAGAAATCCTCTGGCTACCAACCTTGCTTTGTGTTTGCCAATTGAACCATCTGGCTTTAACTTCTGCTTGAAAACCCATCTGACGCTGATGGCTTTCTTGTCTTTTGGAAGTTCTGTCAGCTTCCAAGTCTTGTTTCTCTCTATAGCATCAAGTTCTTCTTTCATGGCCTTCAGCCAGAGCTTCTGCTTAAGAGCCTCCTCTGTACTTATAGGTTCAGAGTCTACTAACATGGCACACTGAATAACTTCTCCTTCAGAGTCTACTTCAGTGTCTTGCAGCATGTCAAATTCTGCAAATCTTCTGGGAACGCTTCTGATTCTTTGTGGTCTCTGAACTTGTTCAGAGTCTTGAGCTTCAGAGTTTCTAACTTCAGATGATTGGCCTCCAGAGCTTTGACCATCTTCAGAGTCTGGCATATTTCCAGAGTCTGAATTGCCACCAAGATCTGGATTGTCATCAGAGTCTGAATCACCAGAGTTTGGGTCATCAGAGTCTGGGTCATCAGAGTCACCTTCATCTTCTGAGTCTTCTTCAGA